TGGCCCAGGTATTCACCATAGGTTTGTGCCAATTATGGATAAATCTCAAATGGCTTCATGCTGCCTGTGTGGTGCACTATGCAGGTCTTGAAATAACGGCTCCTAAAAATGAACAGTGCATAAATTGTCATGACGTGACATGTCAGCAAACTGTAAAGATTTTTGTGATTTGGATAGCTCCTATTAGAGATTTAGTAAATCACAAACTTAGTGGGGTGTTTAAAGAGACCAGGTGTGTATCCAATACTATTTTTAGTGAATGTTTTACACTATGTTATATTAATATGCAAAAGAAAGACAAACAAACAACTATTCAACTATTAAAAGGCATTTTATTAATTAAAAATTATAAACAATGCAAAATCTATGTTGCAACATACAACAGTTGACTAATGTTACAATCTTGTGAACAATCGGTTTTGGCCCCTGGCTGTGTGCACACCCAGTAATATTTGTATACAGAAAACCTGTCTATAAGTAAACGCAAAAGAACCCAACTGTGAGTATTGTGCTAGCATGTTGACAAATTTAACAGATAGTTAAAAAATGCTAACTTTAGCTAATGTTTAAAGTTGGTAAAGCAACAGAGGTGCAAAAGTAACCAGGCACCCTCTCTCACAGCAAATGTATATATAGCTAGGCACCCTCTCTCACAGCAAATGTTAAGTTTTATAACCTCCTGTTCACTCCACCAATCCATGCATTCCTTATATGAAAATGAAGCAACAAAAACAGCCCTGTCTGAATTAACTGTTTGTGTGATGTCATGAAAACCAATGCATTTACACATTTACACCCATTCAGCCTACAGCATTTTATCTTGCCCATTCACATTGAAGTTGTAACGTTTCAGCTCTGACTACTTTTTGAATGAGGCACAATACAGGGCAGCTGATCACCCTCACTCTCAACTAGACTCCTCTGACGCTCTGGACCTGATATTCAGCAGACCTACCTCTGCGCTGGTTGTCACAGTAACTCCCCTTCACCGCTCTGATCACCAGTTTCTATATTTCACACTCTCCCTCCCTGCTACTCCTGTCCATTTCACCCCTTCGTGCTGTTCTACTCGATGCAACCTATACTCCATTCCTCCGTTGTCTTTCACTTCAACTATCCTGACCACCCTTCCCCATCCTGATTCACTTTCTTCTTTCTCACTGGACACAGCTACAGATGTTTTCCTTTCTTCACTCTCATCTGCGATTAACTTTCTGTGTCCTCTCTCCTCCAGGCCAGCAAGATCCTCCCCACCTGCCCCCTGGCTGACAGGTGTCCTACGCAGCAACCGGCAAGAGCTAAGGAAGGCTGGAGAAGGTGGAGGAAATCCCAGCTTGACTCAGATCTTCACTCCTACCAATCTCTCCTTTCTAAGTTCTCACTTAGAGTTAATGCTGCAAAGTCATCTTTCTACAGAAGGAAACTGGAAGCATCAGCATCTGATCCACGCAAGTTCTTTAGCATTTTCTCCTCTCTCCTCAACCCTCCTTCTCCCCCTCCACCCTCTTCTCTCACCCCCGAGGATTTTGTCACCTTCTTTGAGGAGAAGGTTGATAGAATCCACCAGTCTTTTCCCTCTGTCTCCACTCCTTCCACTAGACCCCGTCCTGTTGTTCTCAATCCCTTAAACTGTTTTTCTTCTCTTTCCACAGAAGATGTCCTACAACTGATCAAATCCAGTAATCCAACCACCTGCCCACTGGATCCCATCCCATCCACTTTGCTCCAGTCAATCTCCATGGATCTACTGCCCTATATCACTTTTCTCATAAACAACTCCTTGTCATCAGGTCAAGTTCCATCAACTTTCAAGACTGCAAAAGTACTTCCCATCCTGAAGAAGCCCATGCTTGTCAACTCTGATGTCAACAACTACAGACAGGTATCTTTCTTTCCTTTCAAAAATTCTCAACACTCAACAGAAACTGCTCTTATAGCAGTGACCGAGAAGCTCCAGTCAGTAAGATCAGCCAAACTGTCATCTTTCATGATTCTTCTTGACCTCTCAGCAGCTTTTGACACAGTCAACCATACAATCCTTCTGGACGTCCTCACCAACTTTGGAATCACTGGCTCTGCATGGAAGTGGTTCAAGTCCTATCTGGAGGGTCGCTCTTATCAGGTAACATGGAGACTTTTCTCTGTCCTGGCACCAAGGTGGTGGAACGAACTCCCACTCGCTGTCTAAACAGCAGAGTCTCTCGCTGTCTTCAAACACAGACTAAAGACACATCTCTTTATACAGCACTTAAGTGAGCACCAAGTATTTATTGTAATGTATTGTACTGCACTTATTGAGATGTATTGCATTGCACCTTGTTTAACTCTTTTCTTTTCTCTAGGTATCAACATGGACTTTTGTTTCTGACAGTATCTGAGCTCTGACTAGCTTTCTCTCTAACCTATTTGTAACTAGCAAAGATACTTTCTCTAGATAGACAAAGCACTTTTTGTAAGTCCCTCTGGGTAAGAGCGTCTGCTAAATGCTGTAAATGTAAATGTAAATGATCAGAACACAGATCATTTACATAGATGATTAAAGGCACAGTAACGAAAACAGCTTGTTTAATTTTAAAGGATAAAAGAAGGTTGGAAAATGGTTATGTGAAAACAAATTATAGTGAAAATAAAACCACAAATATTTGCTATCAAGGAAATAAGTAAATATAAGAAAATTGTAGGATACGGGCCCTATAATACATAATTCACTTAATGTGTGCATTTACGGCTTTGACTGTGGCTCAGATTTTAGAACCAGAATACAGTTTAATTACAGTGGAATGCACAAACTGAAAAAAAATATTTTCAAATGGTTTGGAAGAGACTGGTATTTTTCACTTTGAATAATCTGCATCCTACTAATGGACACCCAATTTTAGAAGCTAGCTGGTGGACAACTGTAGGCCAAAGAGGCCAAAGATTCTCAGAGTTTCGATTCCAGCCCCAAACCTCCTGTGATTTTGGAACATATCAGCATAAGAAGAGCTTGAGAATTATCAGATGATCCAAGTTGTAGAGCAGAAAAAACACAAAAACCTGCTTTGTGCTCCTAACCCTCCAGGACCGCCCCAGAAGCAAACACATCTGGGCCTCAGAAAGCCCCTCAGTCATCTTCACAACAAGTCAAACTTTTCCAAATCAAACACAGCAATAATTTCTCCCCTTCAAAGCAAGAAAACAGTAGTAAAATCTTGTAATGCTTCCCTTATGACATAACAAAGTAGAAAATTCAGCAGCTGTGCTAACACTTTCAACGATCTCCCATGGTGGCATTTTGTGAAACCTTACACACGGCCCAAGGTAAGGTCAACATTTGAGCCTGGCTGAAAAGGCCAAACACCTAAATATGCAACTAGACCTTATGTACCAAACTACCATGAGAGTGTGATTTATTAATGCCCTATAAGAGAATCCCACATCTCACAAAAACATCCTCTCTGTTCAGGCTAGTGAAACCCCTCAATGCATGTGTCAGACTCCAGTCCTCATGGGACACAGCACTGCAGACTTCAGTGTTCTGCCTCATTAAGCACACCTGATTCAAATCAGTTACTTAACCTTCGTGAACTGAATTTAGAGAGTTAGATGAGGGAAAATAGTAATCTAAGCAGAACTGTGGTCTGGAAGAAACCTAGTTTGACATACCTACCCTAAAAGAACAGTTTTGGTGAAAAGTCAGATGTTGCAAACACTGGTAAATATCAAAGTCAGTTCAACTTAAAATTCTAAGGTAACTGATTACACTGTTTTTCTTAAGATAACACAACTTAGGGATACTAGAATTCACTCACCTCAAACTTTTTAGTTATCCAAAAGCTCTCCTGACTTGCAGTTTTTAGTTCTGCATCTCAGTTAACATAACAATAAGGTAAAGGTAAACATTGCAAATAATGAAGAATGTATGTTTTTTACTAATTTTCCCCACTAGCTGAAACTTTTTCCATCAGACAATCCCACCAGGCACTTCTTTACAAACACTGAAATTCCTTCTAAAGCCTGAGTAGACTGATAAATCACTGTGATGATCAGTTATTAATCTCGGTTATACTGAGCACTTTTAAAGGAATGATTAAATTAATAATCTTCTCAGTAGTGGACATGTTTGCAAGTGCTACGTTTAGCATCGGTGTTGTATTTGTACTGTATATGCTCGGGGGATTATGGGAGCAGCAGTGGATTGAAGCAAGCAGTGAGAGAGAGAAAAATGTTACAATTTTTTTTTGTTTTTTTGTTTGTTGTTATGAAATGAATTACCAGAATAATACAATGAAGAAAACTGTCAACCATTCAGTATTCACCTATCATTACTTTTTCAAAGTATTTTGCCCGACCCCGGTGCTGATTCTGAGCTGGCGAAAGAAATAACTCTACAGAGATGCTTATAGCTTCTGATTTGCAGCAACACTCAGTTGCAGAGAGTTCTAGATCACACAGTTTGCCGGGAGTGATTAAGCCATCATAGAAAATCAAAAAGAGACAAACTTGATAAGTAGAAAAAAAATAAACAGAAAAGAAAAAGTTATATAAAAGTTATGTTAGCATTTGTTTTCTACTTCTGTATTGTGTATATTGTATCATGCAAAAACAGCATGTATTGTATTGGTAAATTTGTGCATTGTTACACCTCTAGTTTAAGTGCAATGATTTATACATGATACATGCAGTTAGCACACTGCTAATTGGTGAGTGTAAGTTTCTGTTACTCGTTAGCTCCAGTACAAAACTGGAGATACAAAGATACAAACTTTAGACACAAAACTAGTCTTTGCTGATTGACTATTTTTGGAATAAGGGGGAAAATTGGATAAATTAGATTTTTCCTGCCAGACTATTCCTTTAACCCCTCTCAGGGTATGTATGTGGATCCACACTTTAATTTCTTAATCTCATAAGTGCAAAACTTACACATTATTTTCATAGTAGTTTCTGAAGCCTTAAGATTAATAAGTGCGTAGTAAGTGTTTAAGGGTTAACACTTATTGAGCCTTCATGGTACTCACCAGCTCTTTGATGATCTTCTCCACGATGCCCTTGTCCTGGAGGTTATGTAGATAGCGCAATGAGGGTGAACTGGCCAGAAGCCTCAACTGGGCCATTTTTGGAGGTTCATTGGCCGCAGGTGTGACACCAATGGCAAAAAATCGAACACCTTGGTTCTTAGCATCAGCCGCAGCAGAGAATATATCAGGGTTTTTTGGATGTGACTGGCCATCGTACAGTAAAATGGCTACCTTCACACTGCCTGCCTCTGACTCTTTCAGGTACAAATTAGTGAGGTTTGTGATGGCATACGTCAAATATGTCCCTTGCCCAATGTAGGACATTGGAGCAATGTTAGCTTTGAAGTTGGCCACACCTCTCCATTGGCTGAAGGTTTGCTCTTGGATCACATGGCTGCTATACTGGAGGAGGGCGGACCTAAAACTCAAACCACGTCCAGTCTGGAGCCGAATGTTCTGGACACGTTCGATCACGTCAGCTACAAACTGCTTCTCCTGGCCGTGGTTGTCCTTGGCACTCTCTGAACTGTCCAACAAAAATGCCAGCTCCAGAGAGCAGTCCTCATCCACAGGTGCTGAAGACAGATCAAATAAAACAAGAAACACGCTGGATTTATGATTTACTACTGCTTGAATCAGATCCTGTGCAGCCATTAAAGTGACAAGGCAGCTGGATGAACCCAAAACGAAGTTCAAACCTCTGGGCTAAAGCAGTGACCTCCAAATGCTCTTTAATATCTAGGCTGCAGTAAGATGTATCATGTAATATAGCACACTCACTGCAGGAGTGGGTAAATGAACTACAGGCTTCAATAAATCACATATATGACGGAGCATGCACATGGCAGTCAGGAAACTACCCCCAGGGCAGAGAAACATGAATAAAACTCATAAGCCTTGGAAAGCAGGAGAAACAAGAAGCCGTGTAGATAAAATCAACTCTTCTGGCCATTTCCAGTGACTTGCACAGGCTAGAAATTCCACAGTTTAATCAGCATCCTACACGCCCCATAATCCAGAGGTGATAATTACACAGAGCTGGTAAAAGCACCTTCAAGCATTACCACATATGATCTGGACTAAGAGCTTTAGTTGTGCTTTGGAGCATTTACAATGACAGCTGAAGCTTTATTAAATATACAGTCATATGTAAATGTTTATTCAAAATGTTTTGTTTATTTTGAAAAGAAGTTAACACATTCTCCAAAGAGAACATGCTTTTGACCATTGTAATGCTAAGTAATATTTATTTGAGGAATTCAACATACTGGAAAGAAAAACAAAATGTGGCCTGTGCAAAAGTAACAGCACATTTAATATTATATGCATTATTTTTTATCAGTGTGTCCAACATAGAAATTGTGCCCTAAAAATGTCTAATTCATTCCCTCTAAAGGATGTGTTGTTTTCACTCAGAAAATAAATTTAAAAAATAATAAATTGACAAAACTTTTGCATATGACTGTATACTGTATCCTAATTCTATACTAAACACTAACACTATAATTTATATACTTTGTACCAACTGTAAGATTCTGGCATGTTAGCATGCAAAACTAACAGTGATATCAAGATGTTGCTATGTCAACATATATCAATTTGCAAGCTTAAGCTACCTTGGAGCTCCGACTGAGTAAAAAACATTATGTTGAAGACTCATTCATTAATTTTTGATTGTCATTAAACATTCTTTTTATACATGTTTTGCTGAGAGCTGAGAGTAGCCCCACACTTTATGCTTCACGTTGCATCATGGAGTACTCTGGACTCAAAAATCAACTGACTCTGTGTATCCATACTGAAGTTTTTTGGCACTTGTGAATATGCAATATACTACATGCTCAAAGTCAGTGAGAATTATTGTTTAGTATGCAACTGACCTATCCATGCTCTGCCCACAAATGCTGTTTTTCATACAGTTGATATTTTGAAGTTTAGTAGAATGTTGCCAGTTAAACCAATGAATTTGGGCTGGAGTTTAGATTAGCCACATAACATTGCTACTGTATGCTACAGAGGTGGATTATATTGTTGTAGCTAATCAAAACTTGGTAGATTGGAAATGACAACTAATTTGTAGCAGCAAAAGGTTACACCATTTATCCTAACAGTATAATCTTTCAGATACAAAGTAAAGAACATTTAAAATCAGTAATGCACTTTGCATTTATGCATGTTGATGAAGAGTCTACAAAGTCTACAATTTCTCATTAAACTGAAAAGAATTTCAGTCAGCAATCCAACCTTGCAACAGTAGTTATGAAAGAATGGGAGGAGGATGAATAGGTTAATTAGGACACAGCAGCAGAGCTGTAGTTTCATCAGTACACAGACACTGTTCGAAACAGTTTAGCTGATTACGCTTCATTATGAGGTTTAGATGTGATATGCTTGATTTTTTGATAAGTGGTATTTCTCTTACATTGTGCATTGTTTTTCGGTGTTATGCTGGTTGTCACGAGTTTGCTTTTGCCTCTGCTCCTGCCATTCCTCACTTCTTCTTCTTCTTCTCCTTCATTTTCATATTCTTCATCATACTCTTCCTGCTGAGTCCAAACACACTGCAGCCCGAACAGCAAAACCAGCAAGCGCACACACAGCCGCATTGAGCCTACACACACACAAAAACATGCATGATGAAGTAGTAGAAATAACCTGCTCTTAACTTAGAAAAATTCATTATTAAAAACTGCACTCAGAGTCACAAACAAATCCTAATAACTACTCAGTGGAAAACAAAAACCAGAATACCTAATAAATTAACTTGGCAACTCCACTCAAGAGACCCAAGCCCATAAAGAAAGTGATTAACTAAAAATAAAAATAACTACATATCAATAAAACTACAATCAAAAATAAATACTTGATAAAATGCAAACAAAACTGTGATCATGAACAAAGGTTAAACATTGACATAAATGCAGAAATTACACATTAGTGTCATAGTAGATACTGAATAATTCATCTGTTACAGAATAATTCATAGTAAGGATTCAACAGTACTAAGCCTTAAGATATAAGAGTCTGCATAATATGCCTGTGAATAATTAAAGTTGATAATTAATAGCAAAAATTACATAATGTTTAATCAATAACACATTTAGACTCTTGCTACTCACCTCTTGTGATGCTGTACTAGATATATGAACTTTCAGCAGAAATGCAGAAATAAAGCTGACACAAGATCAGACGCTACAAAACGTTCTCTGCTCTCCCTGTTAACATTGCGTGTGAGAGAAAAAACCCAATAAACACAAGATGAGATATAGGAGAGACTCCAAGCTCAGGGAGAGAAAGAAGAGAAAGAGAGAGAGAGGTGGGACGGAGGTTAAACCAGTGTATGGCACATCTGCTGGCTTACTGACGCTTACACATGCATGCACACACACACAAGCATTTTTAAGGACCTCCATCGACTTGTGGAATACTGTAGCTGAGTAATGGTACACCATTGCCTAACCCTAACATTAGTAACTAAAAGGCAATACTTTGGGTCTTTTAGTTTCCTCCATTACTTCAGCCATCAGCATATGCCATTTGTCTTCTACATTTTTATTCTACACTGTAAAAAATAGAACAGAGCTTTTTGAGATTTGAATACATGTAAAAATTTATTTTGTTCATCTAAAATTTTGCTTTGCATCGATATATTTATTGGCATTCAATAACAAAGGCCACCAATTAGCGTTGTGAAAACTGCAAACCTAAATCATCACACTCTTTCCTCAAACTGTTAACATCCTGTTATCTGTAAATGCAGACAAAAGTATGGCAAAAAAATGGGCTTTACAATGGCTGCTAATACTTTTTTCAACTATGTGACGTGCCTTTGTATAGCATTTTCTATAGAAACAGTATGTCATACAATGAAGAAATCAGCTTATAAAAGCAATTCATTATGGAGAGTGTAGTGAAGAATGTTATTCATTCTTATACTGTAAGCAAGGTGTGTTTTTTATTGACTTTGAACAGGTTCTGACACACCTTTGACTGAAGAACCATAGTAATGTATAAACAGACCAACATACCTTAGAGAACACCCCGTCAGGATTCCCCATAGGATAAAGAAGATCATTCAGACTAACACTGTATTGATTTGCAATGACACATACCTCTATAGCTGAGTGTAGATTGGGCCGGTTCCCACCCAGTTGGATGGATTTTGGTTGGATTCTGTGGGGGAAAAGGGCTTTGGAGGTGGACAAAATTTGGCCCGTTTTACTGTAATTTTGGTGGGTTTTAGAAATGTACATAAAATTATTAACTACATTACTTAATAATGCAACTGAAATTTGGATAGGTCTAAATTCTCTCCAAATACATTGAGTTATGAAAACTTTGATATACATTTTAGTCACCACTGTTGAGAGGAGGCTGTTGCCCCACCCATCCACATCGTTTACAGTTGACATCAGTGGTTAACATACCCAGTTTATTATTGATGTAATGGATGTGCAAACTGGCCTAATACAATGATTATCCTGTTCACATGGCATAACTGACAGTACAAAATTCTGCAACAGTAGTAAACTGGAATAAACAATAAAGCCTACAAAAGTAAGCAAGTTTTAAAAATGTGTATAAGGAATAGTTATGCTTGTAATATTATTGCTATTCATTAGCCTCTCTGACTGTGAGGGATCAGGGGTCCTATCATATAAAACATATTAAAACAATCTTAATACTCTGAAAACATTGATGACTTTGTGCAAGCTCTGTGCATTTTGGCAGGTTTAGAACAATTTTTAACTGGAAACTATAGAAGCAATCTGGCAACCCTAAGCCGAAGTTCTGAACGGAACAGACATCAATATAGCTGTCAACCCATGATTTGACTTGTTCGTTTACAACTCAAACCATATCTTGTTTTTTGATATCTTTACAATAGGACATTATACTGAATGAAACAGGTAAGACTCTTGGATGCACATGGATGTGACAGTTATAGTTTGTCTGAGCATGTATAAACCTATGTGAGTTTATGCATTAGTTTACAGTTACCAACCCAAAACAATATCAGCCCACTGGGAATTGTCCCGATTACCCACTGGTGTATGCCCAGCTTTAGGGGCCACGTGGACCTACACTATGCCAACAAAATGCCCTCCACTACATAACAGAACCACCAGACCCAAGCATTCAGGCCTGTACTATGCATGTCTGTCACACATGCACTCACCCACTTGTGGAGAATATTTTGAAGGATGACTCATCTGACCATGTCACTTTTTTCACATTTCTGTAGGTCAGTGCCCATGATTTTTTGCACCATCGTTGAATCAGCACTTTAAACATCCATTTCCAACCCCATGTACTGATATCTTTTCCATAGATTTAAATGCAGATGTCACTTTAGTCACTGTTCTTATTGAAACACTAACCAGTTGAGCAGTCTTTGTGACTAGAGCTTCTGCCTTCCATAACCTAATAGTGAACCCTCTTTCAAAGCCACTTTTATCTTTTCCTCTTGCTATCTTGATCCAGAATTGAGACCAGCTGAGGCTGCTTAGTATTTTTATACATGCTGCAGAGCATGGTGGGATATTAATAGAAAATATTGAAATAACTTGATAATAATAGTAGTAGTTAGCAATAGTAGTCTATTAATTATACTTGACTCTCAGAATCTTCTGTTACTATAAATGGCACTTGAAAGGCTGAGGTGAGCCAGCAGTAAGGAATTTCTGACATGATTCAGCTCCTTCTGCTGATGTTCCAACTCGCTCTGTGCCAACATGCTCTGATATACAGCCACATGTTGCCAGAGAACGCTTCAGCATAGAAGAGCATGATGAACAGCTAAAGGAAAACAGAATAATGCCCCATGATCCACTCTATTCAGCTGCATGATCTGAGGATAGAACAGCACTTTCATGTATCTGGAAATGCCGAGTATTAATTGAGAGGAAGACATCTGGATAAGCTCTGAAGGTGAGTTTTGGATGGAAACATAAATTCCTGAAGATGACATGCGAAAACACCTACAGATGCGTGTAATTATTTCCGAATGCATCCATTCACAAAATCTAGAGCATGCATTCAGAGTTTCATGAGTACATAAACTGTCAATATGTGATGTACAGGACTTTAACTTGTTCCTCTTTTCTCAGCATGAGCTCAGCATGCTGCTAGTGAACTCCTGAAGAACATCTGAGCACCTTCAGTAAGTCCGATCTTGCTGAGGACTGAATTACATTTTCCATTCGCTCATACTAAACAGATCACATCATTTCTCACACCTGCGCTTTACTTTGCCTCACTGCTGACTGACATGTCAGTTTTATTCTCCGTTTAAATTTTTTCCACAGGCCTTGCAGCTTAATAGAACCTACATTACACAAGTAGCCACTCACAGATTTTTCAAAAGGGACACATTTGCCCTCAGCTAGGTTGGTCTGAGTAAGCTCATTAGTTAGCTAATTTAACTTTCTATTGCTAACAGTAAGAAAAATGTAAATAAAAACAGACAGCAATGATTTGCAAATTTTTTACCTATATTCAACTGATAGCAGTGCAAAGACAAGATTAGACAAGAAGTTAATGTTTCAACTAATTAACTTTACTATTTTTTATATTGTATTTTGTAATGTACACTTATCTAAATTTGCTGAATAGGCAAATATATGTAATTGCATTTTTTTGGTGACATTATAACAGTCAGTTCAAAATGGCTTGTTGTTGCAGCTTGGTTTCTATATCCATCTCTAATTGTAATTGTGCATCTGCAAGAAATTCCAGTGTTAATGATGGTCATAGTAATACAGGACATAATTTTGATCTCTGTTTACTTTATTCCACTGACGAACTGTTTCATTGATGTTTTAACCTCTAAAACATCCTGATTGGTACTTTAAAATGCATACATGAGCAATTACTTATCAGTTTCCATGGGTCTAGAAGCGTTGCTAACACTGGATCCATCATCATCAGCCTCAACTCTGGATGTTTTCATCACAGCAAACACACAGTGTAGTGAGAAATGTGTCCACTGGGATCAATTCTGTGAGCTAAATGCAGCATCTCAGGGTCAGAAGTCACTGAGGTCGTATGCAGAAGGTGTCTGACATCAAAGCTCTTAGCAGGAGCAGTCAGAGATAAACAGCACTTTAAACTTCCATCTGTCCCAACACATTTAACTAGACTACTGAGGAAACAGGTCTATTTACTTATAGCCAACAGACGACGACACTGAACACTATAACAACACACAGACATGGACAGAGGCAAATAGGCCAGTGAGATTTCTGATTTGAGGATAAAAACTAAATATGTTTTTGTATTATCATTCATCATATACTGGATATACACCATTGTTTCAAAGTTTGGAATCACTTGTCATGTTATTAACTGCAGTAATAACTCATACCAGTGGTTCCCAACCCTATTTATAGTATGCAAAACTACATTGTTTGAGTCATTAGGTTCCCAACCCTGGTCCTGGAGGACCCCCTACCCTGCACATTTTAGTGTTTTCTCTGTTCCCAACACACCTGATCCAGCTAATGCTCTAATTACCAAACGCTTCCTTAGTTGAAGTGAGTGTGTTTTGGCAGGAAAACTCAAAAATATGCAGGGCAGGGTTGGGAACTTCTGACAATTTAGTTTTACATACTATAAATGTATACCAAAATGCATTAATAAATACAGCAAGAAGATATTACATGATAAATAATATACCGTGATTATCTATTTGCAGTTATTTTTGTAAAGTTATCTGCAGTGAGATTTGATCACTACATTTGAAATGCATTCTAATGTTAATATAAATACTGGACATCCATTATATCATTTAATTAAGGATATTAATTTTATTATTACATCATAATAATAGAGTAATAATAGACTAAGGTTATTATATATATATTTGTCTTATTATAACTTCAGTCAGGATATTAATTCTATTATAACTTCACTCTGGATGTTAATCTTATGAAAATGTTAATTTCAAGCTTAAGTTACTGACATCACAAAAACACCAAATTCAAAACAGGTGTTTTGCAGCTGTTTTTGCAACTTAGTTTCCATAGGTAGACTGTATGAACTGAGGAGTGAATAGTATGTTTTGAGGCTTTAACAATGTTTACAGAATACATCAAACTCTTTTATTTCAAAATGATTTGAGCCCTTTAAATTAATTTTCTTACATTTTGTTAATATTTTCCCCACACGTATATCACTGAAACAAGACAAGTAATTCTGTGAAAAGTGTTTGCTTGTACTTTACTTATCTCCCTGTGTAAAGCATTTTTTAAAGATTTGTTATCTAAAAGTGCTTTATAAATAATGATTAGTATAAGTGCATAACTTAATCTGTTGATATAGAATAGTAACTGGTTAGGAAATAATTCTTCAAGTTGCTA